CTGAAGTTGGCTGTAACACCTAGAAAATGCTTCTGTTCTTATTTCTCATATCCGCATGAATCGATTTCCCTACGATTTGATTTTTAATTGTGGGATTTTCTAGAAGGTACCACTAGATTCTGAGACCGTTAGTCTGCTGTACAAGAACACGGGCACAGGCTCATTGCAAGTGAGTTCACTGCAAATGATGTTAAGCTTTCTTGGTCTCAATCACCGCAACAGTCTCCATTCTGATTGCTTGGACCTGGCACAGAAGCAAAGGCTATGGCATCCAAACGCGCATCGACCTTTTCTTATGCTTCTCTTGACCCATCTATCAGGCTCATGCCACAATTGCCCCTCTTGCTATCCAATTAGGCGCTCCTGAAGCTAATTAAAAAGGCTTGTGAAAGGTGTGTGCAAGTTTAATGGTTAACGGACAAAACTGCAGCACTATTGTGACAAGGGTGGATCCTAATCGTCATTCATCTAAGGTACAATCAGGTGACGTGCTCAATGAGGAATATTCCACTTGTCTGCACTTGCCCAGAATGATACATTATTTTCTTAGTTGAAGAGTTATGTAGAAATTGCGATTTCTTTTATTTGGCCTCCACCAATGCCCTCCACATTCTGATGACTTTCTTTGCCTTGCTATGCATAATCACACAAGTGGTAACTGCCATTTATTTGCAATGAGTAGTCATGGAGTAAATATGTGTCTCCATCGGCGAATGGCATTAGAGCGTATATGGACGACAGTGAAAGGTGTGTTTATTGGCTAAGTGAGTGCGTAAGCTAGTAAGTGGTCACGAGGAAGCTATAAATTCGGAGCAGTGATGCGTTTGATTGTCAACTCTCCGGAGTCGAGATCAAAAAAGGAACGATTCCTGCAATTCAAATGCGCTGACTTGCTCTTGAAAGAAAGGAATTATGCCAACCTCCACATCGACGTCAACACCATCAGTGACAAAGAGCCAGCCAAAAACTAACGCATGCTCCGACTGCCCTCACTAAATGCGACATCGCAGCTTCCTCTGTCTCAGCACACATCACCCGTCATGCCTCACTCATCGCAAACTCTCCTCTAATGCCTTTATGCCCCACGTCAACAAGCCTACTTCTCTCCTCAAATCTGCTTAGCGGTGAGATTTGAAAGCCGCCTTCTCTCCATACGCTGCAAAATCACCTTCAACCAGATGTTGCTCTACAGAAAGCCGTTACGCCACGGAAGAACATGGGAACAGTAAAAAAGCTCTATTGTCTCCTAGAAGACTCTGCGCTTTGACTGCTTTTGAAAAAAGGATTCCAAATTTAAAGTAATGAAATGATTTCGTAAACCATTATTTGCTTGTGCATGCCTATGCTACTGAAATCAATAGGTGGAGAGGCCCCTTGCGTGCCCTGTTTTTGGTGCTGGTGAAAACGTTGTGCACCTAAAACTAGCAATACCATCAAGCAAATGAATACATATCTCTCTAGATAGCTAGAGGGTTGACTATTTTTTCAGGAAGTGCCACAGGGCTCTATCTACCCACCTTTATCTCTCTCCTATGCCCACCTCTCGTACTTTCATCTCGCTCAATCCATCCAGACCAAATTTTCGCTACACAAGGTTGGTGACTGATTAATTTTGCCTTTCGTTAAAATAGGTGGCTGTATTTACAGAAACAGTAAGGTAATCAGGAGACTAGGGGATAATCACGATTCAATCATGTCACGTGTTATATTTTACTTGGTCTCGCAAGTAAACAAATAACATGAAAACAACTGGGACAGATTTTGAGCAAGGCAGCATCGAAATGTCATCTCTCCTAACAATAACTCATAGTGGCGATGGTGGGTATTAAACTTGGTCAAAGAAGTGATGTGTTACAGTTCCAATGCCTTGAAAATGGAATGAATTTGCTCTCAGCAAAATAATTCACTTCGATTTCGTCATTTTTGCTTCGTCTTTGAAATAAATTCTTAGAATATCTTTTGACTACAAATAAGCGCACTAAGCTTCATCAAAATTTATTTTGTCCTTCTAGTCAATCCTGTGCAGTGAAGAATAAAAGGGCCTAGTCAACAAATACACGTATAGTCTACCCAGACAAAACATTTACAATGAACGGCAGTCGGTAATGGTCCACTTACATCTAAAGAACTCCACTGAAGCGCATTTGAATGCTGAATTTGACTCCTTTCTAAAGATTTATTTGTTCTACAGCACTCTGATCGGCAGACCGCGTTCTATCGTAC